TTATAATTATATAGAATATTATATAGAATACAGAAAAATATCAGGGCTAGATATATTACATGTTAGGTTAGGTTCGGGTCAAGATTCGTCGAATTAACCTGCACTTATTCCACGATGTTAACCCTTTGAACTCGAGAGATGAGCTTCAGTCACCATTTCATAAAATTTGGAAGATGGATATTAATTAATATATCAAATTTAATGTAATGTATCAGTGCGCGAGGTATCGAAATTAAATAATTCTACAATTATATTATTATACAATTCTTTATTTACTGTTCAAAAATGTATCGTCAGTTTTTTAGCAGAGAATCTTTGAATTTCTACTATTCTCTAGCTAAAAAATTGTCGAGTGCAAAGGGTTAATTATTCGATTTCTACGATATTTTTACCTCGTGACCACGAACAAGCCCCCAGCGTGTTGAAACCACATGACCATCAACGTCTCAATTCCAATTACGATAGTAGTAAGGATGAAAAGCGAGACATACTGATGCGAGGTGATAAAGATGGAATATTTCTCGTCGTCGATGAGGTATTCCATCGGCAGTGAAAATCTTTGCGACCAAGTTACGTTCGTGGGTATAAATATATCCACGATATAATGAAACAGGTGGCACGTTATTAGAATAAGCGTTTGTGGATAAAGAAGTACTGTAACAAATTTTCCATTTCAGGGAGAAAAGACATTTTCACATTACATCGCATTTTATCGCTTCGTCGGTAATTTAAATTTGCTCCGCTAATTTATTACTATTAATAATTTACTACTCAGCATTTCGCTAATTTCTTACTCATCAGCGACATCGAATAACGTCTCCCTAGCATCGCGTGCTCCTTCAGAATTTCAAAAGTCCTGCCTCGGTTCGTCTGCCAGTCGTGCTTCACTTGCTCCATGAGTTCCTTCACCTGGATTTTTGCAAATTTTTCTCACATTACGTTCGTCGATATTTTAATTTAAACTGCGATTCTTGAGACTCACTACGTCCACTTGATACCAGAACAAGCTATATTTCACGAGAACACCGAAGCATACCAGTACGGACGACAGTCTGTGGAATATGGCGTACAGCGTAAAGTCGTATGCTGTAAAGTGTATTTTGAGCGACAGTAACTGAAAACGACGTAAATCAGGCTTGAATATTCGTATTCTTTTCTCTAGATAAATTTTCACGAAAGGAAATATAGTAACAATATGTTGATAAATTAATAAATCAAATTTGGTTGAAAGTTGAAAGAAAGATTAATGACTCGTGACACTTTGACAAGAGAAATTGTCAATCTGTTAGATTCAGTCGTCGAATCTTCCAGCTCGAATTACAATTCCTATTTAATTAGGTCCAACGTCAATTATAAGATACTCAGTTCGATTGCGATTGCGATTAATATCAAAGATCAGTCGAATCACTTGGAATAAATAATTAATTTCACAGATAAAAATATTGAAATGAAAATTAATTTTGCAGATTAATTAGACCCCAAACTCCAAGCTTCTGTCACGAAAGAACCATTGCAGAAGTTTCGCAGTAAATGGGACAACGAGCGTTTTACCTGAGGAATTACACTAGAGAGCGAGATGAAGCTGATGATACTGTTGTGAACCCATCGAAACCTAGAGTGGTTGTACGGCCAGAGTCCCACCGATGACAAAGTGAAGATGCTCAGTTTGTAATACGCTATTGCTTCAGCCATCGCGTGCAGTGGTCGAAAAGCTACTGACTCTGCTCGTCCACCCTGTATTACCCTCAACCCTCTTCCCGTAATTTCCGCAAAGTATTGCAAACATTTGTTGCCCTCCGATAAGATGATTGACACGATCTGCAATTTGTGGATTACATATTCATGTCTAAACGCATCAAATCGATCGAATCGCTTCTCCCCTCGCGACTATGTGAGCTAGGCTATTAAGAAAATTATACGTTACTCGAAAAGGGCTGCAGAGTACGTTTTTCCTGAGAATTTTCACCTGTCCCGCAATTCTCTCGTACGTGGCCGTGCGTCAGAGATATTCCTGAGGAGTCCTCAGTCTGCGTTGCCTAGTCGCAGATGAAGGATATAAACTTTACTTACTGGGAAAGTTATAGCAACGGTACAGCGTTTTAAAATTTGTTTCACATTGCTGTACGAAGTTGTGAAAGATCTGTATAGAAGATACGTGGGGAGGATATTTTCTAAAAGACAGATGACCCGATTAAATTCGTACACGTTCGAGATCTTCTGCAATGGACTCCTGTATCTTCAGTCTCAGAAGTATAATTATTTTATAGTAAAATGTCGTGTCGTATTTTAAATACTACGAGAGACTCGAAAGAAAAATTTTACGATTTCTACTATTTTATTGAGTATTTGTTAATACGCTATCATGTAATTATTTATTTCCCACTACGAGATTTTCTGTCGTTTGATTATTGTACTGACGTAATCGCTATAAAATAAGATATCGACAGTTGTATTAGCTGAAAGTGAAATTAACAATAAATAGCGATGGAAGGTGTTAATTAAAACAATATGTTAATTATTGTTAATTGAAATACCGAGGAAAATCCTTCCATCGACGCGCAATAAAAACCGAAAAACGAGAACATTAGTGGTTTGGAACTATTTACCATAATGTTCAGGAAAAGCTTTTGAACACGAACGGGAGTTTCGTACCAGTTACTGTGAAACCTGCAAGTATTATTACATATTCCACTGGTGGGAAAATCGAGAATTTTCTATCGCACTTTAATAATAATCAAACGTGCGTGGTAAAGCAGTATAATGACGACGACGAAGTATGTCAGGAAATAACGTAAACTATCGTGCAACAAGTGGAAACGTACGCTAGTACGTAGGTGATCGTTAGGTTTCATTCAGGTAAAAAAGGAACGTGTAAGGCAAATAGTCGCAGTCCATATTACCTGAATAGAGTCTAACGGCTCGATATCGTATAGCAATAGTACGCTTCTCTTCAACGAAAATAGTCTACTAGATGACAGTAGAAATAAATTGCCAAAAGCTGATCGGAAAGGAAAACGTTTTCTTTTGTAGAACGAGTAATCCATTCGCGTTATGAATAAATGAATACTGCAACAAAATTAGAATCGTGACGTGTTAGGTGTCCTAAGATCGTTTCACTCTGTATAGTGGAATAATACTATTTTAAGCATATCGTGTATACTTATCTTCTGTTTTTACATTATTCCATAATTTTTTAACGCAGATCTGTAAGGCGGTGTGTGAAAGATATGAATTGAAAAGGAAAAATTCCATACGATTGTACATGACGTAGGTGAAAAAAGACATGGATTTTCAACAGCAGTCAAGAGTAATATCAAAGAAACGTCAGAAAAAGGTAATTTATTATGCAGTGGCTAATTTTTCACTATGTGTTTCTTCTTGTGTTCAGCAAAGCATCCTTATTTCGTTATAGATATCAACATCATGAAGTACGATATCGACATTTGCAATAGCTGAAAAATGAATTTCAAACAATGGCAATAAGTCGGATCGTTGTCGAAGTAATATTTGATAATTTCGTTAGAACGTGCAGAGAAGTGGAAAGCAATGTACCGAAGAAAGTCCTTCCATTGTAGCAGTATAAAAACCGAAGAAGGTAAAAGACAACGGTTTACTGCATCTTATCATGATATGTAGCAGTAACTTTTGATTAGTGACTGAAGTATCGTACCAGTTGCAGTGAAATCTGTAATCAGTCTCGCAAGCAGAATTTTCTTTTATGAATATTCCAATTTTTCACTGACTACTCGCTTTAGCACGTTAAGTGCCCAGTTCGTTTTGCTTGCCGTTCCGTTCAGGCCCAGATTCGGTCGTCAAGTGGGCCACCGGGGGCGGGCGAAATGTTCATAAAACTCTGAAATACTGTACCAATTGTTATAGCAGGAATTCCCAAACGTTAGGTCCAAAGATGGCAAAGAATTTAACACCAAAGTTAGCACCTTTTGGTCCTAGTCTGGTCCGGTTCCTGAGGACCGGCCGGGCCCAAACGGAAAGTCTAGCGACGGTCCTTGGGGACCAACGTGGCACTTAACGTATTAAATATCGGTTGCTTACATCGCTGTGTCGAAATCGCTGAAACTGTCAGTCATACGTTGCCCCATCATGTGCATATAATACAGGTACAGGAATTCGCATGTAGTAATCAGCAAGAAGACAAGGGAATCTAAAATTTGTGATTGCAGAAACATAGAGTGCCACAGCTGGAAAATTGAGAAAAGAATGTCGCTATTCAGTTAGAACACACGGAGTTGGATTCGCCACTTACCTGAAACACATTTATACTTAAGGACATGACAGCGAGGACGATAAGAATACTATATACCAATACGTTTCTTGCGTGCACCACGTGGAAAAATCTTGAAGGTAAAACCCGACTAATGAAATAGTCAATGTTTCCTGAACGTAATATGAACGTGTATGTGGTAATACTGACCGTATTGCTTTTCTGTGCGAAAATATGGCTTGCATTGTATACCGTTTAATATTATAGTCGAAAGAATCCTTTGAACCTTTGAGCGTGGACTCGCGAATATAATAACTACAAATGGTAATGTCATTTTTTCACTCATATTTCTCTTCGTAAATTGCTAGTATTGAGAAAATTTGTAAGTTGGAGAAAAATTAATAAATATTGCAATTCAAATACAAATGAATCGAGATACACTGAAGATATGTTCACTTGTCTATCGGAATAGATCGGTATTAACACTTCGATTGCCACGCACTTTCTATGTGGTATGCACAGGGGGCCACGTTAAAATTTCCACTATTCTTCGGATATAATGATGAATTATCAAACAATATGGCAAAAAAACGAATGGTGCAAGATATTAATGTTCTCTATTTATTCGCGTTATTAAAATATTCGAAAAGTGGTTAGAATAAAGAAAATATAAATTAAAGAAATTAGTATCGCCGAAAACGGGTGACCACCATGACTCGTTTGAGGAGACAAGCGCCGGGCACTGATGACCGCTATGGCCGTCAACGTGTTAATGCCAATTATTTGTTATACCTTGTGATTTCGCATAAGCTTAGAACGTGGTATGTACACATGATAGTTAATGATTCTGGTCCAGCAAAAGCAGTCATAAGTATCCATAACGATATGTACACATGTAGAATTGTAAACGTTAGATGACTTTCTTCATAAACCATGTATTCTTTTGTTAAAGCGAACATGTTCATGCGAGTTTCATTCGACAAGATTACTTTATTTAGAATGCACGGTGATAGATCGATTAGCATTAGCATGATTAGTGACAAGTAGAAAGCTGCTGCAATATGTATGCGTAATTGAAATGTTTGTAGCACTTTGTCTCGTACTTGTTGGGAGTATGTTTCTTACATGTTATACGAAATACGTAAACTCTTCCCATTGCAGCACCTTTCTTAATGATTTCATGAGTCTCATCTCGTTGCATTTGCCAGTCGGATTTTATTTCATCAATGAATTCCTTGATCTAAATTTATAGTCCTGTTTCTATTGTCGTTTTCGATTGTTATCACCTAATGGTGCAATACAAATATATCTCACATACCCTTGGAAGAAGATACCAATTTATGTTATATCTCAAAAATGCTCCCAGACTCATAAGAATGGTTGACAGAGATCTCAAAGTGAATTTCTCGATGATGGTCAAGCACTAAAAAGTGGAAAAATTCGAAGTAATTATAGCATAAATAAGTTTTATGACTTTGGACGAGTGCATCAAACATGAGACGAGTGAAAATTCGAAAATAATGATAGCACTTGGAACCAGAGTACTAAGTATCGAGAATTTATACGCGAAATTATAAAAAGGACGAGTCAAATTCATAACAATCCGACAAAAATTCACAATCCGAGGATGATTGAACGAAAACACGCGATGCTAATATTTCATTTAGGGTACAAGAGTGTACATATATTCACGTGTGACTGTATACATTGCACGATAGTATGTATAAATAAGAGGTACGTCGAATAGAAAAGTGTGCGAACATAAAAATCAAATATAAAATAATTAGGAAACCTGAAGAATTATGAAAAGAAAAAATATGCCACTGATGAGACCGTTTTTCAGATTTCTATATTTCGAGTTGCTGTACGGCCAAAGTCCAATCGCCGATAAGAGCATCTTGGGTACACTGTAATACGTTTCGAACATCACGACCGATGGTTAAAACACGACTGATGTCTCGCGTATCCATTTACCCCTTGAATTATGTTTATTTTTACCTCCCTTCGCGATTTCCTGAAAGCGTTTAGAAAAGTGTTTAGGTAAATTTTCTTACTTCCGGAGGAATGAGTGACACGATCTATAATTTCGTGATTATTTATTCATACCTAAGGACTTGGTTTCCACCTTTCGATTATGTAATTATGGCTATTGAGAAGATTATACGTTGTAAAAGAACGGGGGGAAAATGTGTAAAGTTTTTCAGATAATTTTCTCTCTGTCACGGATCTCTGTTATTCGGTCCGCGATAAAAGCGACTATCCACCACGTTTAGTCTGTTGCGATTGCTCGAAGTGGATGGAAGTTCACTTGTCTTTGGTGTACTCTGCCACAGGAAGGTGCAGTGATACAGTGTTTAGAATTTATATCTTTCTGATCGGGAAATGCCGAGGATGGTCTAAAACTACATTCTAGGAAACACGAGTTCCGATAATTTTCTGTTTTTGCGTTTATCTGTTATTCTGTCTGAGATCAAAATATTTCTCAGTTTATTTCTTCTGATCGTTGCGAAAGGGATGACGTCTCGTGATTTCAGTGTTCAATATTTAATAGAAATTAGAGATGAAGTAATATATATATAGTTCGTATCGACTGCATGCAATGTTTGGTGTAGTTCAACATTTGACACGAAAAGTCTTCAAATAACAATTACAGTAAGATATTATATCATTTTTATTATCAACAATCGATTATATACTTGATAAATGTCTTTGGAACAATTTTGCTTTGTTACCACACAAGAACGTAATCTAACATGCTATTAAATACTACATATGAAATACACATCTTTGTAGCTTTTAAGTCGATACAACGGAATAGATTACCATGAAATAAGACATTGTCAGTCTTGTCAACTGAAACGTGTATATAGAGGTTTATTTGCGAGATGAAGTTTACTAATTGCTAAAATGTTATATTGTTAATAAACTGTATACCGAAAAAAATCCTGGTATGGATGGAGAAAAGGTGCCAAACATATTGAAGGGAATAGGCGATGAGTATTTTATCATCATGATTAGTATTAATTTTTGTACTTGTAACGGTGCCTCGTGCCATTTTACATTGTACCTACGGAAGTAACGTATTAATATGTATTAACATACGAATGCAATATTTGCATGATCATGAAGAATTGTTTAAAATTACGTAAGTGAATCTGCAAAATATTCGATAATTTTATTTCATATGCTTAGACTGTAAATATACGTAATTAACTGGAAAACGAATATAAGCAATATACACGTACAGTTCCATGAAAATATTGTCCTGAGCGTCCAGCACTAGTTGTGCTACATAATTCATATAAAACATGAAGATGACTTCGACTATCGAAGTTATTGCATATTTCAATAAGTCGGTCATCTGGTTGAACAAAAATGATTGAATACACTGAAAATACATACATGCAACTAAGTAATTCCACCCTGACCGCCCAAACATTCTTTTAAAATTAATTCCTTGTACATGCACTTACTAGAAATAACGCAATACTCAACGACAGTACTGAAAATCCAGTAAGAATAAAATACAACCAAATGTAGGTGTTTTTCAAGAATATGAAAATTCTTCAACAATGTTTACGATTAATAATGTTATATAAAAGAATTATACGATAATTTATTGCCATTGAAAATGATATTATATTTGAAAAATCGGCATCACAGTGCGATTGTCTCAGTACCTACTTCGTGGTTCTTACATATAAGCGAATTGAACTTTTCAAAATTTGTATCATCCTGTCGTTCTTGTTGCAGGTAGGACTGTACAGAGGATTATAGGTAAATGCTTCTTTAATACGAGTACTGCAAATGATAATCGTATCGTTATATACCTGCAGACGTAATATGAAACAATGAAGTCTGAAAATGTATAGCAGATCCATAAAGGAATGAAAAAGAATCGATATTTTCTTTAAAAGGGTAGACCAAACGAATAAGCACACATTACCATAATATCACTATTAATATTACATATCTTTTCTAACTCACGGAATATCATCATCAGATTACCTAATAATCTCGAAAAGACTACACACGTGTTGAAATGACAAGTTAGTGATAACTTCTACCACTATACACGCTGAGCTCGACAGTAAAAATGCCATCAAGATTACAACGAACATAGAACAATATAAACGAATGTCTTGGATGTTCATTGAATCTTGAAGCTGAAGCGAATTTGTCCCTTTCCGCCACATCGATAAGCCAAAAGAATAAGTGTATAATGCATTTAGCCCATAAACTATACCCATGAAGTGAATAAGCACTGTAAAACGTCGCCATGGGTTGACTAATACGATTTATTATTATAATTCAACGAAGTGCATAGAGTTCTGTTAGATCTTACCAGAGAACATTCGCGAACGTTTATTTGCTCTTCTCGTATGTTTTCTCAGTATATTCAATTCCTCCGAATTTCGAGTAAATTCCCAGCTTTGCTGTATAATATTCAGAACTTTTTTCATCTAATTAGAGAACGACAATAAAATACATATGGCATACGTAATTACAGCTATGATATTTATATCTTCAATTATATACAAAAAATATTAATTGAAATAATTCAGGTACTTACGTCTTTTCGTTTGTACCAAAGAAAGTTATATAAGACAGTGAAATTTAATGATAATATTATTTCGCAGACGTTACTTAAATAAAATGAAGAAGGTAGGTTACTTACAATGCAGTATATTATCTGAAACACACGCGAACAATCGCACTCCAATGAAAATTGCACCTTTTCTTCAAGATATCTTATGGCCAAACATTAAACTAATATTATGTCTACTTTGTACCTGCAATAATACCACAAACGCAAACAAAAAGGCGCAGAAAATTCTATACACTTCTAGGAACACGCTGTTCTTGTATGGCCAAATTCCAAGCAGCAGAAAGTAATACTTCTTGTATTTTAAATAGCGTTGCATGATATCGTCCATTTGCGATGGTGGTTCGAGTACGTTTAACTTCGAAGTTTCTATTCTATCTGTTCCTTCCTCTCTGTTCTCTAATAATTCGAAATTTTGCAACATTTTCCCGTGAAAATGCGAAGCACGGAGAAAGAATGATTGACGGAAACTGTAATTTAGCTACGATCGATGAACAAAGTGTAACTAATATCAGAGGAGAATTGTCATAGTTTTATGTTTTCCGTCTTTACACATCTCCCATTAGCATGAATAAATTATACCATAATGAGTCTCAGTATTTACCCTCTAAATTCCTTGCGCACGATTCGATATTTATGGCAATTATTATTTATTGTCTTCTTTTCTGGGAAAGAGACACGGGAGTGAGCGATGAGAAGAGCAAAGGTTCTTATTCATTTAACGAAGAGACCTCGAAAGGTGCACATGCATCGTCTTTCAGTGAGAGTAATATATTCTTTGCGAATGTACAAATTCTAATTCAAAGAAGCTTGTAACTGTTTGTAATTAATTTTTATGTAATTCGTGAAATGATAAATATTTACTGTAAGAAACAAGAAACAAGAGAAACGAAACAATCATAAAAATAAAGGAGAAAATATTAAAAGGTGCTAAGACTTCCGTGCGGTTAGCGTCATATTTGTAATCGTATCTCGCGGCGTTCTGTTTCAGACTGGCGCATGCGCAGTAGCTACTAATTCCGAGCGAACGGCGTTCGAACGTGATAGTGAATGTTGCTGGAATAATAAAACGACGTGAGTGACATTTTGTGACTTTTCTCGGTGGTGCATTACAAACTACAGAAAATACAAATACGTAAGTATTCCTGAAATAATTAATATATCGTTATTGCAGAAATTCGTACGGTATCTGTACATTTTCCGAATACGAAAAACATCGAGGTTAGGTGCGGTTTATAATATGTTGCGAATGTATCGTTTAACAGTTAATATAAACATTTAAGCTAGGAAATTTGTGCGTAAGACAATTATTCAGAAAGATAATGCTTGCTTTAAAAGAAAATGCTTAGGAAATATTTGTAGCGACCGTCATTCTCACCCTCGCCGCTAGATGGACTTTGACTTTAAGGAGGTTCGAGAACTTTCTCGCAAGTTCTCGAAATACCTCCGCTTCCTATATACATAACTTCCAGACCTGCCAATAGTATGTAATAGTAACGCAGAGCCTGCTAGAAAGAATCTTACTTGACCAGTCGACTTTAGTAGCACAGGCCCGGGAACCGAAATGCATCCCTTTCTATTATTTCTTTCATTCCTTCTAGCATCGCCGCCACATTTGAAGATACCTTGCGACCAGCCAACAATTCTCAACACAACCGGTGGGGGCAGATATATATATTAACACTATGCCGTCCAGTGGCACTACGTTGGTGTCCTGCGAAAACTATCGGGCAAATGCCCGGTGACACCACGCATGATATTATGCGCAAATGATGCGTCAGTCTTGAAAGAATCTTACTTGACCAGTCGACTTTAGTAGCACAGGCCCGGGAACCGAAATGCTGCTGCATCCCTTTCTATTATTTCTTTCATTCCTTCTAGCATCGCCGCCACATTTGAAGATACCTGCGACCAGCCAACAATTCTCAACACAACCGGTGGGGGCGGCAGATATATATATATATATACATTAACACTATGCCGTCCAGTGGCACTACGTTTTGGTGTCCTGCGAAAACTATCGGGCAAATGCCGGTGACACCACGCATGATATTATGCGCAAATGATGCGTCAGTCCTACCGGCACCAAACTAAAGAATCCCGATTAGACGTGAGGACAGTATAATGGGGGGGTGTGTATGTTAACCTTTTAACCCTCACATATTAAAATAGTTAATCACACTAGTTAAGCAGTATTTATTGAACAACGAAACAAAGTCGATTCAACATTACACAACAACAACAATAGTAATCTTTTGACAGAAATTATCTTCTTTTTTCTCAGCCTCATTGGAAAGAATATATCGCCATGGAATAAGATATCGACAATTTTAACAACTGAAAAGGTAAAGAACACGATTACAGTAAAGACTAACCTAACCTTAAATTAACGTAAATACATTGTTATTACCACTGAAAAAGATTCGATAGATGGATTGTACATGAAGAACAAATCGAAAGTGTGTGCTCTCGCAGTTTTTAACATTATGAACAATAACAATTTTTGTGTAGGTAATGGCGTATCGTACCATTCGGTGCTACACCTGTGGATTTTAATGTAAGGTTACGTAGAGAATTGTTTAAGGTTATGTCGCATATTTACATAAAAGATACTTTTCATCGTTTGACCAATAATTTGGCAGACTTGATTGAAGAAATTGATATCGATAACTTACAGGTTATGGAAAATAGCATCAGCGCTATCTAGCAATTTTTGAACCACATAATTCGAGTACAACATGTATATCAATTCAGCGGAAACAAGTACCAGATACAATAATATCATTCTAGGTTCGTTCATTAAGGTTAACGATTGTGATAACTGAAAAAATAGGCGATTAAAATTTCGTCAGTATGGTCTTTTGTGTTCGGAGTTAAAGTTCCTTCTCTTCTCGGGAAGTTCGTAGAAATTCACAGAAGAAAGGAATTACTCACGCAAAATAAGTTAACGGAAAAGGACACAGTGCCCAAGACGAGGATTGAAACATACACTGTAGAATATTTCACCAGCATTGTATTTTTGAACCTTTGAGAAACAAAGAATGGCGTGAATTAAAAAACCGGATAAAATTCGAATTACTTTTCAACACCGAAACGTTAGAAAATCTTTTACGAACATGCATCTGGTGTTATTTCTGGCATTTTTACTCCGTTTTGAGACACAGAAATAGCACCGAGGTGGGTGAAGTTAATTTTGAATGCTATGCAAAATACGAACTTGATTGCTCTCCTGTGCATAATCACAGCGTTAATTAGACTCTCTTTGCCGCTTCTATCCAAATGTTTCTGTGAAATGCGCGACTGAGTGATACACTGCAGAACAGCTTTTTTAATGCGATGACTGTAAATGACATTTATTACTGCTAGAGTTTGGCCCGACATCGTTGCAAACAAAGATACAGCAAAAATGACAAAAGGATTGAATAACTCGGTGATAATAAAAGTTAAACGAGGAAATGGGGATTCTCTTTCAATTAAAGACTTTCTTTAGAATTCTGCGAGTATAGAGCAACTCGTTACAGCATTATCTGCGTTATATGGTCACAACACAGGGTACCATACGCACGTAAATGTATACTAAACCGAGGAAGTCACCGTTTCAATAGAAATACCACCTTCCCTTACCTGGCGATGTCAAATAAGCTAGAAATGTGTTGCATCAACAAGATGGTCAATGTTTCAGTGCCTATAACCGTAATACCTCCACAAAATACAATTAACGTTTGAAAGATCAGGATTAGAAGTGCATGTTTCTGCCAATCTACGAAATATTCCAATTGTATTATAGGTTCACGGGGTTGGGATTCGTTCCGTGACAAGAAAATGTCAAATATTTTGGACGAGAATTGCGACGTCAATGAAATTAACATCGACGAGAACACTGTTGCTGTAACAACGTTTTCTGTAAGCGCTAGATTATCGAAAATTTGAATTATTTCTTTTCTTATGGCGTTTATGTTACATGAGATAACTGTTACGTGGTGTTTTGCCGTATAGGCACATTCTCTCATGATTCTAAGTTCCTCGTCATCCTTCCACTCGATCCAGTCGTAATTCACTTCTGTTATAAGTCCCTTCAACTGAATTCGTAATTGCTTTTCATAGTGCTTAGTGTGGATTTAATCGTAATGCTATTAACTCACTGCTTCCGGCCGATAACAATGTACAATGTACTTGAAGAACACGCACAATGTTAATGTTACGCTTGACATGTTCTTTATAAGCATTGACGTTGTACAGTCCATGGCGAGTATAGGCGTCAACTGCAAACAGTGTGTCAAAAGAGTTTTGACTATTTTTCGAACGAGAGGCGAGAAAGGAAATATTATATTAAATATCAGCGATGAGTTACAGCAATATCGCATTTAAAATTAACCCTTTGCACTCGAGAGGTGACCGTCAGTCACCATTAGATAATTAATTAATATGTCAAATTTAAGATAATGTAACGGTGTGCGAGCTATCGAAATCAAATAATTCTACGTGTTAATTATTATTTCTTATTTATTACTGAAAGAAATATCGCCAGCTTTATAGCAGAAAATCTTTGAACTCCTACTCAACTTTAGCCAAAAGATCGTCGAGTGCAAAGGGTTAATCGTAAATCCGAAGATTAGTGAGTTTTAAATTAGGCTTAAATTCAATTTGATGTGATATAATCAATATCGTAATTGTAATTGTAATTGCAGTTATAATTGAAATTTGAGAAATTTTAATTCGTGTTATTAATTAAATATTATACCACGCTCGCGTGAATTTATGCGATAACACCTGTGTACCTGTATGATTATACCAAATACGAGCAGAACACAGATCACGCTATTTTGAAGTCGACGTATGTTTGTCTTTTGATAAGGCGAAAGTCCAACTAGTGACAACATGGTCACGGTTAAGTTGAAGTGCTCTGGCACTGCACGATCCATGCTGTATCACGATTCAAACTCGTCTGATCACCCACGTCTTTACACACTGTGAATTTCCTATTCATTTTCACTCTTTGATTTTACATTTCTGACGTGCGAAATTTCGCATTTAATAATGAAAGCATAGAGCACTGGGGTTGGTATTTGATTGACAGGTAGGTGTAATTTAAAAATTACGCAAATAGCCGGAGGTGTAAGATAATAAATTGATCGATAAGTCAACCCTTGGTACTGCATTTATTAGCAATTATGAAAATTATACCGTAGGGAGGGTAAATCAATTTTTTATTGCAATTTTCTACGTTTATTCTCCCTTGGATATTTTTCTACGAAAATATTCTTTCATTCCTGTTTCAGGCGCTGTACCATGCACTTCGTGCTTACACGACTGCAATGAGAGAAGTGTCCAATGGTACTTGGATACTGGTTTAATTCTCGCTTCTCTTGGATACAACCTGTTATTACCGTAGCTGTCTACTGTATTTAATACTGTACTACTTGGCGCGGATTGAATCCTTAAAAACGTGAGTAATTTTATGTTCATTTTATTACAGTTTCAATTGTCAATTTAATTACTGTTTAAGATTGTTTGAAATTGTATAACTTCGTCAATTTGACGGAAAGGTTGCTCCAATTATTTGATGGTAACAGATTTAGTTAACTTATATTAAGACTGTGAATATAATATATAATTGTATTTAAATTAAACTAAACGTTACAAGAAAAGGCACGTGGTTTCCTTTACCTGTCAATTTGACAGGTGTCCCTAGAAATAGGTATACAGATAGCGTCTGAAACCTAGTGATAAATTTGTATTTCGAATTACTAATTAATATTAGAGCTGTATACCGCATTATTTCTATTATTTTTACCTAATTATACCTAATTTTTGGCTCTATTATAGTTGATACTGTATAGTACTTATTACCAATGCAAGTAATACATGGTTACGATACCTCTAAGTAGCTTTAAGCTTCGTTCAACGAGTAAATTATTCTTTCTTCAGCGACGGTGAATGGTACTTACCTGAAACAAACAGAAATAATCATATTTTTATATTAAACTAGTTAGATGTGGAAAATAAACAAATAAAATCGCATATAGCATGAAATTATATTTCTCTGCTCTTTCTGTGAACTCAAAATTGGCTACCGCGTTAAGATTGGCTTTGCAGGCAATATCTTTATTTTATGAATCCGTATGACAGCGCTGCTTTCAGCGTTGCGCGTGTAATTTTTCATTTCATTCGCATAACTACATACCTGTCCTACCATTTTTTGCGGAGCAGAGAAATATTCATATACGGCTGACTTAAAATTTGACGTATTTGACTTCAAATTTTCACTTGAAATTAAAATTTTATCTTAAGATTAGTAATTATAGTAACGCGTCAAATCGTGTGGTATATATTTGTACGGTGTACAAGCGTGTCATAATTATCTCTGAACAGAGCAAAGGTACAGCGATGTACAGCAAAGCCATGATACTTTGACGCGTCGAGGAGCATTTCCCATTCGCTTTGTGCCAGTTTCTTCCTTTTCCCACGTTTGACGAAATTCTCTGGACATCCTTCTCGAATTTTAATATATTAACTCTGATCATTTGAAATCCTCAGATACGATGGTATCTTTTCTATTCTTCTTTCAGATTATAACGAAGTTATTTTCACAATCATACTTTGGGCATTGAATTTCGATACTGTAAGATTTATTGTTAGGATATAGAGATTAGTCAGAATTCGAATTATTTTAATATCCCTTTTCGGGATATCCTTAAATTCTTTATTTATCGTTAATATCAGCGTCACGTGAGTGTAACACATAACATCTGTAGCTTTTAACAACGTTAAATTAAATTTAATTAAATACTATATCAACGCTAGTTTTATAATGTAGACAATTACTATCGTGTAGAACGAATGACCATAAAACAGGAGTACGATATTCTGAGCAGCTGTAAACGAAAGTAGAACACTCGTGAATGGGATGAGACAATAAAATACATAAAAATTATACGAATAACCGTGAGCGGAAAATTTGAAATATGAAATATATGTTACCATATAAAATCTTTCGTAATTCGGTACGAAAAGACCAACCTGAAAAGTATAACTTTTCACACTGTGTTTCATAATGAATAGTAACATCTTTTGCTCGGACACTGAAGCAGTGTACCACTGTGTGTTATATCTAAAAAATGAACAGACAATGATCGATTTGGTTAAGCATTTGCACCGATTCTTATTGTAGAGGAATAATTTAATGACCATTATTCCATTATTTTGTCTGTCATTCGTATTCGTTATTTTATTTATTATTCTTATAGGGGCACATCTCAGATATTAATTTAATGACCATTATTCCATTATTTTGTCTGTCATTCGTATTCGTTATTTTATTTATTATTTTTGTAGGGGCACATCTCAGATATTAAGCCTTGGAATGTCGTCTCGGTATTTCATTCGGCCCTTTGTTTAGAATAGACCCAGAAGACCGTTAGGGTCCTCTGGCAGCCAGATTCTAATTGCTGTTTTAGTTCAAGTTCCGTGTCCTTTCTATCTTCATTTTCAATGCATTTTCGAACAATTCTTTATTTCCCTCGGGTCACCGGACACGAGGTTCTCTTTAGCCATTAATGTTAGAAAGCAGGCAACAGCACTTAGGATTTGGCTGACAATAGGCCT